TATGAAGAAGTGGTTCCTGTTTGTCTAGCCGCCTCAATGGGCGAGCCACTGGCGCCGTTTACTGACGGGCTTGTTAGATAACGGCTAACTTGTGGTGTCTCTGGTTCTCTTCGGGGTACCTGTGGCGAAGAGGCGGGTATCTGTGGTGAGGAGACAGGGCCCCTTGTTGCTCTCCGCTGTCTCTTAATCTCCTTTTCTTTTTCGAGACGCTCATGCTGCTTCTCTTGACATTCGAAGAGGAGCTCCCTCACCTTGGCACGAATCCCAGGGGCGTTGATTTCCCATTCGGTGTCTTCTTTATGAAGAAGTCTTCGAACAGCCTCATCCGGGTCCTTCAGGAAATTTTCCATATAACCCAGGACGTACACACCACAGTCGCAGAAATTGTCTTGCATCGGAATGCCTCGGGCAGTCATGCCGCTGGGTAAAGTAGTGATCTCGAGGCCCTTCTTGTGTCTTGCTTCCTCAAGGAGATAGTCCTTTAGACACCTGCAGGTTGGTGCATGCGATGAGCCTAGCGAGTCGAGTGTAATTATTTTTGGATCGTCAAGGCTGGACTTTTGGTATCCTCCAGTTGATTGTCGCTTGCTCGTTCTGCCGGGACCCACTATGCTCGGCGTATGCTTGTCATCAGGCACAGAAGGGTTGCTGTCATTCATCGCCCGGCTTCTGGTTGAGCGAGTAACTTCCACATCTATAGACACAATGGGGGGCTTTGTTGCAGCAGGAGGACTCTCCGCACGATTCATTACTGGGTCATTATCCTCAACAATTATTGCATCTTGTGGATTCCAAGACTCCTTCTTGATGGTTGGTTCCTCTTTCACCTCTTGTTGCAGAAGACGAGGTGCATTATATATGATGGCCAGGTACCAGTGCGCGTTTTCGTTGACGGGAACAACAATGAAGTCGTATGACAGCAGTTCGACACGGGCGGTCCAGGCTTTGACCCCATCATAGTTGATTTTGGCGCGATTTGATCTTAGCTTCTCGAAGAAAAATGTACTAAAAATGTACACCTTCTTTAGGACCTCTGGTCGCTCCTTCTCAAGCTGGTCTTGTAGGTAGCGAAGATAAAAGCTGATAATGTTGTCGTTGAGAAATTCGCCTTCATCCAACCGTTGAATATCATCTTTATCGACTGTTGCCCGGTTCTTTCCTGTTGGAGGCCACACCAAAGATCTGTGCCATTTCTTCTCCCAGCCAGGATTGCAAGCCGTCCATGGTTTTGGGGCTGTTTCATGTTGAGATTGTGGAGATTCCCTTCTTGTTGAATGTCGAGTCCCGAGCCTTTGATTGCGAGCCAACCCTGTAAACAAATCATCGGTGTCGGGTGGTTCCATTTGCACGCCTTCTTTTGGCTCAGGGATGCTTTGCATTCCATCCTTAAGCTTCTTTTGATTCGAAGCAGGACGGCCAGGTGAGACAGGATCACCTAAGAAAGGATCTCTGTGGTGCTGCTGAGATCTGGAATTGTTGGCTCTGTGATTATCATCTGGTAAGAATATACCAGATGCCTTTGCTGAGCTTGTCCTGTAACCATCGGCCTCTTTCTTTGCGCAATGAAATGTTGCTTCCAGCTTGTCTCTTGGGAATTGTTAGTTTATCTTAGAAAGCCATGAAATTTCGACAAGCACTTACGTGCTGCATTCAAAGAGGCGTGGCAAGCCGTGCAACCAGTGGATGAAGAACGAGGCGTCTGTATCGCTCAGAAACCTTAGTGCGAGTTTGCCGCAAGAGAAAGATGCTCTGGCTGAGCGACTAATGAGGACAATGGGGCTATTAGTGTTATTATGTTTTACATCTTGGATTGAGGACCGCAAAACTTGAAGCCAGGAGAGGTCTCCGGTATTCTCATGCATGGGCTCAGCAGCGTTGGGACCAAGTCGAAGTGTGACTGGCTCTATATTGTCTGCTGGAGAGAACGAGTATTTCCCACAGACCGCAGCCTCTAAGGAGACCTCCTTCAACGCTGATCCCTTGTTAGCCAAGGTTTCACGCCCCGGCATGGCTTTTGTGGTTTTGAATGTGGTAGACTGTATGTCACCTCGTTGGGATCGCGATTGTGAAATTAGCTTCGAGAAGCTAGGCTTCTTGACTGTCTCACGGGGCGCAGGAGCTCTAGGCGCAAGTTCATCATCAGACTGCTCCGGTTGCACCTTGAACCGCTTTGGCGCACTCTGACTATATTCCGTTGCTGGTCGCTTTGGATGACAAACGACATCAGACGTGACGTTGGCGGGTGGCGGACCGTCCTCATTTTCCCTGGCTAATTGATCTGGGCTTGTAGGGGGGTGCGAAGTTTGAGGAGCAAGGTTTCGGTGCGCAACGGCACTCGTATCGTCAATCTCAATGGGTGACGAAGAAATTTTGGATTCGTGTCTGCGCCTCCGTCGGGTACGTTTCACGCTGTTGTGACGGTGAACATTGCGGTACTCTTGCTGGTTGCTCGTAGCTCCTGCAGTCCTACCAAAACTGATGATGCTTGAGCCATCGATAGTTTCGACCATAGAGTCTTCTCGGGTCAAATCGTGATACTTTTGCGGCGAGCTTTGCGTTTCTTCGTCTTCGATTGCTTCTAGCGGCCGGTGAAGAGAACCCGAGGGGAAGAAATGGGACAAATTCTTGTTCGATAATTCAGGCCCGGATGGCTTGACTCGCTTGTTCGGCCGGTCATATCGAGGTTCGCTGCCGTAGCTTCTTGCTTCAGTAGATTGCCCGCCCCCCATCGAGCTTCGTGGTTTCTGGTCATTGATCGCTCTCTGCTCCGAATATCAGTAACTAGGGTGTATCTTTGCAAGCACGGTGAAAGACTGACAATCCGTGATTTCATCTTCGCTTCGTCACCCGGAGCTCTGCCAAAGGTGTCAGCAGGAACATTTCACGAAGAGTGGACAAGGAGCCTACCCATAGTCCGGGAAAGAGTTGGCGGTGGAGTAATAGCGTGCGAGAGGGCTAAAGCGAATTAGAGCGAAGCTCAGCGGAATACGCAGCAGTATGGAAAGGAAAGAAGAAGAGCAATGCGCACTCCCATCGAGCCTTTTTCCTCCACTGGTCACCTATTGACGAAGACTGTGCGTGGGCCTCCAGCTTTTCACCCTGGCAGTTCACGATGCGGCAGCCTATGAGGCGGTCATCAGCAGCCGACAGATATCCGTGCAGCAGACAGCCGGGGTTCCCTGAGTTACAGTCAGGGTCGTCGAGTATGAAGAGAACAAATTTTCATGAGTAAAGAACAGAGATCTCTTGAATCGAGCATGTATTGTCTTCCCGGAGCTGCTGAATGCAAGTTTGAATGGACGCCTGGCGGTTTAACGAGACGCTCCACTGGCTTGGCTGGCTTCTAGTGGGGCTGCGCTCCAATTTAGTGCGACTTCGGCAGAAACTTGGAGCCCAGATAGTGATGACTTAGTACCTTGGGTAAGTGCCTACCTACTTTAGGCAAGGTATCTAGGATTACTGAGTTGTCAAAATGTTAGCCTCACAGGGTCCAATCTGATAGGGTTGAAGAGGTCCAACAGTTTCTACTATTTCAACATGCAATACTGAGAGTCCTGTATGTATGTTGGAACATGAGGGATTCCCATGGCCACATTAAACAATATTGGATGTTTATGTGTGTGTTGCTTCCTCAATGAGACCATCTTTACTGAATCCAGTCCAACTGAACAGTGGAGTTCATAGAACACACAGCCGCCCAATCACAAGGCTGAAATCTCACAGCTCCAGCGCTCACCTAACTTTCCTTAGGTACACGTCTCGTCCGTCTCAAAACGTGGCCAGTAGCTCCAACAACTCGAACACCAAGACGCGACATCGTCAACGTTTCTCCTCCAAGCTCCCCTTTTCTTTTTGTACAAAACTTCGAGAGCAAAAGCTGCAACTGCAGCTAATCAAAAGCTCACCATGTACAACTCTCTTACTCGTATTCAGAACACCTTTGGTTTCTTTACCACTGTCGCATTTGTGGTCGCAGCTTTTATCGCTGCGTCCGACCTCTTGGCTCCACGGGCGCCCGATGCTGGCATATTCCAGAAGACAAACGCTCAAGTGTATGTCTTTTTCTTCTAGGATCTAGCATTATATACTGACTATCTTCTGTCTTGCAGTGTGAAGGGCCGACCACACTACTACAGTTCTAAGAAGGAGGAATACGCCATCATACGATTCAACCTCGATGCCGACTTGAGGAGCCTCTTTACATGGAACACCAAGCAGGTTTTTGTCTATGTCACTGCTGAGTGGCCTGGCCCCAACAATTCGACTAATGAGGCTGTTATCTGGGACAAAATCATCACCAACCCCAGCGCCGACCATCTCCAGAACATTGGACCTGTTGCGATGAAAAAGCTAAAACGTAGTGCTGAGGGCAAGTCCATCGATCCTGAACGGTAAGATTCTCTATATCCACAAGTATTTACACATAACCTAAAGATATTATAGTGGCTTTATCGGCCTCAAAAATCAGAAGCCAAAGTATCAGATCACCCACCCCAGTGGAAAGGTCGCCGAGATAGATGATGTGAAGCTCAAGCTACATTACAATGTTCAGCCGTGGGTCGGTTTTCTAACTTGGGATCAGTCCCGGGATATCAGTCACTGGAGGGCTTTGAAATGGGGAGAGTCGCCTAAGTTCCAACTTCCTGCTCTGAAGGCAAAGAAGAAAGATAGTCCTAAGAAGAGCTACTAACGATAGACAAATTCTTTTGTGTTCTTGAAAATGCATTCATAGTGTAATATGGCCCCCGAGTCTTTGGCAAAGCCATGATTGTAACTCTTTGCGGGCATGATCCCTCTGACAAGATCTGTTCGCACTCGTGACTCTGTGACACAAGTATCTAGTTTTTATCTATCATACATTTTCACACCCACAACTTTTATCTCAACGCTGGCTATGTTTTAAACAATCCAAGCATTTCAACATCCTGATGTAACACACGGCATCATGAACAATCCATCCGTCGGCGCCAGGACAGGTATGAATCAGAACTGCGAGGCATCTAGCCTTGGGTTCCATCAGCAGCGGCTCCTCCGTTACCTCGTCCGCGGCTGGCTCCGCCTCGCCCTCTTCCACCACGTCCACGTCCACGGCCCCTGCCTCGGGGTGAGTCAAGGCTGGCTGGTGGCGGAACATTGCCATATCTCTGTTCCTGTGGAGCCTCGACCCCTTGGTGCCCATCAGGTCCTGGGGGACCATGATGGGTACCGCGTGCGCGACCACGACCTCCTCTACCTCGAGTTCCGTGCCCATTAGCGTCCTGACCTTGAGTGGCGCCATCGGGAGGGCCATTCCGGTAAACCAAGGTGCTGTGCATGAGGTTAGGGGCACCCCCACGAGCGCCGTTGCCTCGTCCTCGTCCAGGGGAGTTGCGTCCGGGTGAGTTGGAGCCATTCAAGGCTCCACGCCACCCACCACGAAGCGGACCAGGTGCCGGAGCATCCTTGTACTGTGTGACACCCACATTTGCATATCCACCGTGGGCAGCGAGGACTGGTCGTCGCTGTTGTGACTTGCTTGTGGTTGAGATTACTTGTTTGTTCGTGGTGTTCAGGACGGAAGAAGATGCCACAGTCTGTCCGCGGAACATCGGAGCTCTCTCGTTAAGCGTGGTGCCACTCATGAACGATGTGTCCCAGACAACATCTAAAAGCAGAGCAGTGGCTGTGCGGCTGATACCAGCGACAGTTCCACGAGTCGCGATAGGAACTTTTCCAGCGGCAGAGACGTAAGTGACCCGGTCTCCCAGGCCAAAGTTCTGGCTGCCGAGCACCATCTCAGCATCAGACGGCTTGAGAAGCGCCGAACGAGGAACGCTACGCAGTTTCTTGATCTCAATATCTTGAGAAGCAGCATGGATTTGTTCTCCGACATTAGCCAGGGCCTTGACAACCTCGGAGTCGAGTTGCTCAGCTTCTAAAGGAACACGCTCGAACTTGCTGGTCTCCTGCTTCTTGAGCCAGGCCACAATCTCCTTGACTCTCTGCGAAGCAACACTGGGGTCGTTCCAAAGATCGGTTTCGAGAACCTCACTCTTCTGAGGTTCCCTCTGGATGGCCGCAAAGAAATCGGGGAAGGCAACCATGTAGTCAGCAATCAACTTGATTGCCATGCCACTGAATTCCCAGCCCGTGTGAGACTTCCTTGAGTACCCCAGAACCTTAAGTTTTCGTCCTTCAAATTTCAAATTCAGGCCCAAATTCAGTCGAAGTCCAGCAGAATTGATAATTTGATATGAAGACGTAATCTTGCTTAGGACAAGAGGATGAATTCCTAACTGCTTGGCAACAGCAAAAGAAGGGGTGTAGGGGTTGGAGCGTTCTGCCTGGTGGATAATTTGCTTCGCAAAGTCCGGTTCCTTATTCTTCAGCATCGAAACAACGATCTCAGCCTTGTTATTGGCGTGGGCAGCGACTTCAAGGGGGCGTCCGTATGCATACTCTCCTAGGAAGAACGCACGAGTACCCCGCGGGAACTCTTCTTCGATTGGCAACGCCTCTTTTTCAATGAAGCGTTCATCTTCGTTAACGACTTCGTCAACAATGGTCTGCGCAGCATAGGTGCTTCTCAGGCTGGGATTCTCAGCATACTCTTTAATCAGGGCACCCTCCTCCGTACGAATGAGACCTTTCAGCATATGGACATATACCAAACACTCAACCTGTCCGATGGTGATTGCCAAGCGTTTGGCGTGCCAGTTCTCCAGGTAATCCGCCTCCTTGGCCCAATCAGCAGCCTCCCTGTTATTGTGGTCCTTCGTCACAATATCTTTGCCATTGTCGGCCATTTCGTAGCTGAAAAGTTCGTCTTGCACCTTGATGACTTTGGCTTCCTGAAGGAATGGGTATCCAACAAAGCATCGATGGCCTATTCTAGCCTTCCAAGTTTCTATCTTGGTACGATTCTCCGTTTCAGTCAGTGTGACACAGATGCTTGGGTTTCTGCTGTCAGCTTGGAACACATTTACACCGTACCCTTCAACGAGTTGGGCGGTATACGGAAGGGTGTGCAGCGAAGGGAAGCCGGCCAGTGCATCGACGCTTAGCAAAGCACCGTTAGTCAGGCCTGACAAGTATTCGAGTCCCTCCATGTCCGGAAGGTCGAAGATATTCTCAATACAACGACAGTTCTGGATCTCTGGGAAAACGCCAGGTAGTGGTGAAGGATACACATAATCGACTTCGGGGGAATATGTGAACTTCAGGGGAACCCCAAATCCGTTGCGAGCCTTCTCATCAGGCTCCAGCAACTCGTTTTTGGGGGCCATCGCGGTCAATAAGCGCTTTTCGTCGATGAAGGGAATCTTGATAACTGCTTCCCAGTCCATTTTCTTGCCATTCATGTCCAGTTCGAAGTCTCGTGGATAGAAGTCAATGATTGGAGAATCAGGATTCGTCATCAGGTCGTGGTAAACCTTAGGAACGATCTTCTTGCTCCGGTCCGGTAACACGCCCATGAGTTGTTCGTACGGCAAAAAAGGTTGGCCCTTTTTGAAGTTGAGGTCCGCACCAACTCCCTTGACGACATCTACGTTTTGTCAGCTACAAGAATTCATACACCACCGTACTACATACCTGAAATAAGTGGTGCATAATGGTACCCGTAGAACCAAGGCCATGATGCAATTCCCTGATAGTAGTAGTACAAGACCCATTGGAGACCCTGGACATAGTTCTCACAAAGCGCTGTAAGCTCCTTGTCGTAATTATCAGGTGCCCACTCTTCAAACTTCTGGAGATAGTATTTTGTCTTCCAGCCCTGGTACTTGTCTTGGTAGAGCTTCTCGTAATTCTTCTGAGCGTCTTCGGGAGTCAAGTCAATCACCAACGCCTTGTCGTACGTCTTCATTACCCGGTAGGCAGCTAGATTTCCCTCCTCTTCGTCATCATCCTCTTCGTCGTCGTCGGCATTATCCTTGACCTTGGGTGGGAAAGATACAATCAGATGACGGTGGCCCTCGTCGTCCTCCTTAGTGGACCACTGGAGGTGCATTGAATCAGCCAAATCCTGAACAAACTTACGATCAGCGGCCTTGAGACTTGTACCGAGATCCAAAGGTTGTTCTGAGCGTTTCGAAATATAGGGTCGAATCTTGTGTTTCCATAAATCGCGCTGCGCTGATGTGATTACCAGCTGACCCCCTTTGGGCGCTTTCGCTTCGGCGTTTTTGTTTTCGAGTTTCCTTTCCATCTGTTTCGACGCGAACCACTTTTCATCAGATACGTCGTTCTCGAAAGCATCGATTTCGGTCTTGGAAAGTTCGCCAAGGAGGCGCTGTAGTCGCTCCATGTTGATAACTCCATTCTCGTTGATGTATCCGTCGCATTTTGGGAGGATAGATTTGTAGATTCTAAACATTTTCGCCAAAGCGCCTTCATTAATGTGCAAACTCGGTAAGTTGGGCAAGAAATCGTTCCCCACGAAGAACGCCATCAAAATAAAGTCATCAATGACTCTTTCTAGATCAAAGGGAAAGCTCAGGGCCCCATCCTCTTGAAGCTCCTGGAATTCCATCTCCAAATATTCTCTGACTATGCAAAGATGAAGCAGATAGAAGTTCTGATGCTCGAGTTCTTTGGACTTGGTCTTTGACGCCCGTCCGAATGTAACCTCCTCTCGGAGAAGACAGAAATGAGGGTCATGGCTGAGCAGACCGAGCATGATTAGATCAGCATCAAGACCATAAAGGCAGTGTCTGACGTTCTGGTTGTAGTTTGGCTGGGCTTTAGCATTTCGAATATATTCCATGATCTTGTGCTCTCCCTCGCCGGGAACTTCGTGGCCGGATAGCACAACTTCACAACCCTGCCAATCTGTGTCCTCGGACACCTTCTTGTTGACGAAATACCTCAATTGCTGGGATAATTTTGCCATGAACTCCGTGCCTGCGACTTATCAGATTTTGTCATTAATATTTCTGGTGAATTTAACATACCGGGGGTGATGCAGTTGCTGTCAAAAGGTTCCTCTTTGGGAATCTCGACACCTTCCTTGATGGCCTTTTCACGGGCCTTTTCAGCATCGAGGGCAGTCCTAAAACGCCGAGAACGTTGCTGGTTCATCTTGGCTCGCGGCGCAACGCCATCAATAGCCATGAAAAAGAGTTGTTTGGGTTTAATCTTTCCAAACAAATGTTCAATGTAGTTGAATATGCGAATGAACATTTCCTCCTCGCTGAGACGGAACGATACATCCTCACCCGCATCTTTATGGGTACAGTTATGTATGATACCATTCATGTCGAGCTAGGCGACGGTCAGCATGCATGCGTAAAGGGATGACAGGAGGCATCGGACGACGAACATAAAGGCAGTCGAATTCGGGTATCCGATTTTCTGCGATGAGTTGAGAAATGGCAGGATATCGTTCTGAGAGCCATCTGAAGAACTTGGGGACACTACGACGAAAAGAATCAGCTATGGGAGGTAAAGATAAAGGGCGACGAGAAGTACTCACCCCATTTTGACAGGTCGTGGACAGCTTCCAGTCCACACAAAACGTCAAATATATCGAACGTGATGTTTTATTAGTAACAGACCCCTAAGAAACTAGGCGGGAAACGTGGAAAATCCTGTAAAAAAGGATCGCGAGACAGGAGAGTAAGTCGACGTGGCGCCGAACAATCTTGTGAGCGGATGGTGCTATAGCTGAGCGGTTAGACCTCAGCAAGTGATACTGCACGATACTCCGTAAGATGAGCCGTATCGTAGGGCACCGTCGAGTTGTGACGGTCTATGAGGTAGAAGGTGAAGGCGAAGGCGAACCGTGTTAACGTGAAGTCCAAGAGTCATTGAGGGAACCCAGGACCTACGACGAGATGGTGGGGCTCTGGACCTGTGATGGAGGGGCTCGGTGATCTACTTCTGCAGTACTTATAGGCCTCTCTGTTTTGCGTGACGCTTGGAGTACTACCTATGTGCCTTACCCGCTACTCCCCACTGCCCGTGAGTCAATTGCCCGTGGCACCTATGGAGGTTGTGGGGTATCCTACCTAGCCACAAGGATCTTCCACTCGCTGTGGCTCACCGTTGCTAGGTACTGTTTGTCACTTTACGCGCGACGCGACCTGGGGCACTTTTCAGCCTTCCTGGTGAACTACACTCATCGTCCTCAGCCGTGCACACAATTTCTTACCACCAACGATTTGCTAGGTACCTACCTACCTACCTTGCCTCTACCATTATCTTACACATTTCCTTCACATTCTAAACAACCTCAAAATAGTCAACTCAGCAAATAAGAAAAGTTATCATGGCACCTGCTCAATCTGCAGAGCGCGATGTGGACAGTGAGTTTGCCCTTCACAAGCAAGCAATTAAACTTGCCCATAACCGCAAACTTGCAGACATAGTTACTGACATTAATGCAGTCGATATGACTCACGAGGACGATGATGATCAGGGCGAGCGCATGATTAATGAAGGTATGGAGAAATAAATGACAAGAATATGGACTAACCGTACTAACACTAAACAGAGTACAAGACATGGAAGAAAAACAGCCCGTTCTTGTATGACATGATTCTCGGGCAAGTTACAGGTCTTTGATCACTACCACGAATTCTTGATCTAACATTCATCTTCTCTCAGCACGGCTCTGACTTGGCCTACTCTGACGGTCCAATGGTTTCCCGACGTCAAGGAGCCAGAGGGCAAGAATTACTCAGTTCACCGCCTCCTACTTGGCACTCACACTTCAGACGAGAGCCCCAACTTTCTTCAAATTGCCAATGTTCAGATTCCAAAGGCTGTAGCGCCCAATCCCAAGGACTACGATGACGAGCGAGGCGAGATTGGTGGCTACGGTAAGCCTGGTGATGTCGCTGCTATCAAGTGCGAGATTGTTCAGAAGATCGAGCACCCCGGAGAAGTTAATAAGGCTCGATATCAACCTCAGAATCCTGACATCATCGCCACTCTTTGTGTCGATGGCAAAATCCTTATCTTCGACCGAACCAAGCACCCTCTCCAGCCCACTTCCCTCGGAAAGGTCAACGCGCAGATTGAGCTTGTTGGACACAAGGCCGAAGGTTTCGGCCTGAACTGGAACCCTCATGAGGAGGGGTGTTTAGCGTCTGGTAGCGAGGATACCACAATGTGTCTTTGGTAAGTATTTAACACTGATACTCAGAATGCTCTACTCATACTGTGCTCAGGGACTTGAAGACCCTTAAGGGTGATTCGAGGATCCTCAATCCTTCTCGCAAGTACACTCATCACACTCAGATCGTCAACGACGTTCAGTATCATCCAATCTCAAAGAACTTCATCGGCTCTGTGTCCGACGATCAGACCCTCCAAATCGTCGACGTACGTCACAGCGAGACCGCCAAGGCAGCAGTTGTTGCTAAGCGCGGCCATCTTGATGCGATCAATGCTCTGGCGTTCAACCCCAACTCGGAAGTGCTCGTGGCCACTGCCTCAGCCGACAAGACAATCGGCATCTGGGACCTCAGAAATGTCAAGGAGAAGGTCCACACTTTGGAAGGCCACAACGATGCTGTTACATCCCTAGCCTGGCACCCGACTGAGGCCGGTATTCTAGGAAGTGCCAGCTATGATCGAAGAATCATCTTTTGGGATCTTTCGCGGGTTGGCGAGGAGGTGTTGCCCGACGACCAGGATGATGGCCCCCCTGAATTGTATGTCCAGAAACTGCCAGGGCTTGATTACAACAAAACGCTAACAAGTCTAGACTGTTCATGCACGGTGGCCATACAAACCATTTGGCTGACTTCAGCTGGAATCTCAACGAGCCTTGGCTTGTGGCAAGCGCTGCGGAAGACAATCTGCTGCAGATCTGGAGGGTAGCCGAGTCCATTGTCGGTAAGGACGACGGCGACTTGCCTGTCGATGAGCTCGACCGATAGGTGAGGTGGAAGTTCGTGGAGAAGTTCCGGTCTTCATAGGATGAGGAGACGCAGCAGCTCTGGAGGCGCTGGCTTCAAGAGACAGATGCCACCAGCATCGAGGGACGAGATAGTTATCCTAGTGCCAGATGTACAAGTACTCAGAGGGGGCTTGAGGCCTAAAGAAAACAACAAACAAATTATTCACATATCTCCCTGGGCCAAATAAAATGCTTTTTGTTCGTCAGTACTCCAGCTCTGAGCAGTGTCGCGAATTTCCCGCGGGTGCGTGGCACAGTTGACACTGGCAGCACCTGGCAGCTCATCTCTTTTCTCTAGTTGACCAGGACTTCTTCTTCCCACAGCAACTTAGGTGCCCTAGTTACCTAGTAGATACTATTTGTTGCCTGATGTTCGAGCCTGTCAGTGGCCTGCCGCCTTGCTACCTATTGTTTCTTGAATCATGTCCCACGAAGCACGACCAAGTATCTTTGTACTACGATGTTCTACTGCAGCTTCCTATCATCACACTGCCGCAAATCTGGCAACATCACTTGGTCCCTCTGAGATTTCATCTATTTCTTCTTCTTCACAATCCTTATGGCTTCCAACCCATCTCATCCAGAGGCGGGACCATCTACACCAAACAACGTCCCTCGTAATACCCTCAACATGCAGCCAGTTGCGAGCAACACGGCTCAGTCCAGTGTCGACTCTCAAGCTACTCCCCAGGGCCAAGGCGAAGACCAAGTCCAGTCCCCAGATGAGCTCCTCACACATCCAGAGCAGCATTTTGAACTCCTAACAGATGGAATGCGACGTCGCCTCGAGGAAGCAGTTGCTCGCGAATCCCGCACAAACGAAGAACTGGCCGCAATGGGCGTCGACCCTGAAGGTTGTGACGAACATGGGAACGAGCATATGGACACAACCATCGATCTGGGCCCTGATGTCGAAATCAAGGAGCCTGACAGCCAACTAAGCATCGCAAAGAGGGTCAAGTTCTCGAAAGCTTACTCTTATGGTCTATTTGAAGGGCATAATCCATATGAAATTGAGAATGAGGTAGATCATCTCACCCTGAGTCTCAAGCACACCAGCCTCGATCTTATCACGGCTCTCTGCTGCAACCTGGAGCTTGCCATTGAGATTGGTAAGCACCTCTCTCCCAGAGACATCGTGAGCCTGTACATCGCCAGTCCTGCATTTCGAAAAGCAACTACGGGACATATGCTCTCCTGCATTCGTATGTGGATTGGCACCAATGCGCCCGAGGCTGGGAAAGTCTTCCATTGGAAGCTCTATGGCACAACCCTCATCAAGGATCCAGCGGACCGCAATTCAAGTACTCCTGATGCTCGGTTCCTTGAAGGCCGCTGGGAAACCACGAAGACAAACCCCAGCCAGATTCGACTGATTCCTGGTTTCAAGTACCTTGAGTTGGTCATCGGCCGTGATCGATACTGTCGCGAGATCATCGCAATGATGGCTCGCATGGGGTTTCGCATGCCACGCACAATGCACAGCACCCTTCTCCGACTCTGGGTCTTACTTGAAATCCCTACTACGCGCCAGAGACAACTGTTCCTGAGGAGCAGAAAGTACTGGACCAGCATTCACCTCTACAACGCGCACTTCTTTATCGTCAAGCTTTCAATGGCCTTTACACACCCCTTTTTCAGCCCGATCAGTATCGACATGGTTAAGCTCATGATGGGCCAGAAAGGCTTATATCCCTTGTGGCAATGCCTCATGCGACAGAAATACAGAACTATGTCGGAATGCATGGAACTCAAGGCTCGCTATGACTTGCTTCTCCCTGTAACTGTTTGGGAGCTTATTCAGAGAGAAAGATACCCCTCCGCTTATGGCGTTCCTGTCCACGAGGTCGGTCTTGGTCACCTGGAAGGCTGGGGGAAAGGTGTCCTTCATCTCGGACGCCCTGATCAGATATTGCCGATCGAGGCAGCCTCCCGTGGACTCCATCTAGACGACCACATCACCCAAATGATGGTATGGGGCTATATTGACTTTGAGACGGGAGAAAACCTCGTCCCGACCGAAGATGAGATGTACATCTCAGATGAAGATGAGAAACTCAACAAAGCTGACAACACTCACCATTGGCAGCGCAAGCACGCTCTCAAGAAACGCTGGAATGAGCTAAGCACTGAACAGCAGCAGGAGATTAAGGACGATGATGCGGATGAACACCTCCGTGCTATGGCCTGGTCATCAGTTGACCACGAGGACCTAGACTGGGACAGGGAATCCGACGACGCTGACGACGAGAGCGACGGCGAATACGACATCAACGCCGAGATCAACCGTGGATATCGCATGCCTGCCGCACGGAATGAAAACTCATCACCTGGCGAGAGTATAAGCGACATACCAGCTGTTGGAGAGGCAATTCGCGTAGGGAATCGGGAAATTTCTGCTGACGAAGTCGCTGAGATGGTGGGAGGAATGGACGTCCCTGTTCAAAGAGAGGAGATCGAGGCCTGGAATACCACGCTCAGCGAACTCTTCATCAACTCAACCCCCGAAGTGAATGATGACGACTACGAAGTGGCCAGGACTTGGGACATCTGGTTTACCAATGGAAGCTCT